CTGGCCAAAATAAGACACTACTCTGTTGGATCATATTAAAGAAGTTCTGTATTAAAATCACAAATGAGTTTGATTCCCCATAGTTTAAATTCCAGGGTATTACTAATTAAGAGGTCTCTTGGTTTTTGGTACTGTTTCTCTCCCTCTATGTATGAAACTTGCAAGCTGCTAATTGTGTTAGTACATTCTAAGACAGAGTCTGTTCTCAAACCAATTCTTTGTAACAGTAACTACTCACACAGAGAGAGACTCAAAGCAATACGCTGTAACAACAGAAACAGCACCCAGAGACTCCCCGTCCTTTTGTTGTATTCATCTCGCTTTGTTAACAATTGTGATTAAAATAGAGATAAAGGATGTATGTGGATGGATGCTTGGTGTGGATAATAACTGAATGATCAGGGAGGTGCCAGCCTAAGAATCCAGTGTCCATCGGCTGAAGAAGGCTTCAAGTGGAAATAACCAGAGGACCTCCGGAGGGCAGACTGGAATCCACCCAACAGCCTCAAGAATGGGAGAACCAAAGAACAAGATAACATCTGGCAGCACGGAGCCGTCAGGAATGTGCCATCTGCTGATTGATTCAGCAACAGCATGATGAAGCAATTCCCATAGACTGGCATAGGAAGATATTCCTGTAACAATGGACTCTAGAAAGTGAGAACTTTGGGGTCTGATTCTGCAAACCAACTTCCAGGAGCATCAGATGAGTATCTGACAAGGCCCTGCTCCCTCCTCATGTCCAGGCCACCTGGCCAGTGGCTTGGCATGAGCAACTCTAAGGCTGGTAACTATGATAACAACCTTGCAGAACCTGTGTGTGTGTGTTTGTATGAATGAATGTGTGAATAAATATGAGATTGAATGGAATGTTATAGCTATAACTAACTGCTTACTATGATTCTTTCTGCATTCACAATAAATGTGGCATTTTGCCTTTTCCCCTTTAATAAGATCCTGCTGGTTTTTATTTTATTGGTATAACAACTCTTGGTTTGGTTTGGTTTTGGTTTATTTTACTTTTGCAGACCCTGCAGACCAACACAACTGAGAGACAGTGAGCTGGATTCTATTAAATTGAAAAATTGAAAACTGGGGCTAAGTCTTCCTATGAGCATGTACAGTGTCTAGCATATTTGAGGAATACTGCAATATAACAAAATAAAAATAGTAATCCTTCTTATGCATCATCAATAGAATTGTTTACTAAGTGCCATCTAGTTACATTTGTGCAAACCTATTAACAATAATTTAAATGAAACCTGACTGGCTGATGAAAATTCCAATCCTTAAATTATATCCAGGCATGGGTGCTGGGAGTGGCTGCTGCACCCTCCCCCCACCCCTCCTGCCCTAGCTTGAAGTGGTTTCCATTATATACGAGGTTTACAGTTTGGTTCAATGATTCTCAGCACCCCCACTATATAAATTGTTCCAGCACGTCTGTACCCTCATTCTCAGTCAAATATGTCACTCTGACTTTCCACATATTTTTCAGTTTATTTTTTTAATTTGGCAGGTTCTAGTGGTAGACTTTTTAAATCATTTCAGGGATAGTAATTTATTGAAGTTGATTCCTTAAGTATTTTAAAAATAGAGAGTGCTTGTGGTCCAAACCATCCACTTTAGTTCTTTGCTGCTTTTCACAAGTTTGGGGACTATTTAAACTTGATCTCTATGATCCACTTATGTTGAAGTGGGTGGAGTGTTGTAATATATGGAATCAGTCTGTCTTAAACAGGAGGCATTTATTAAACACAACAACTGCTTACAGACTCAACAAACAGACATCCACATAACTTGAAATCCAGTTTTGTCTCCTTTGTTTACCAGGGACCAGAACCCTGTCTGGAAATCTAAACAGTACTTAGAGACATCAAGTGATTAAATAATACACTTCAAGTAAATATATTATTACAGAGAGATTCCAGGAGAGGCTACTTGTGGGCTGGCCTTTTCCCCTTCTGGATGTCCTCTGCTGCTGCCTACCACTTTTGAAATTAATTGAGTCCAGACCCAACACTGACTACATATCCTTCTGATATTTCCTCTTTATATGACTTTTGCAGGACATTGATTTCAAAAGATGCCACTCCCTGTAGAGGACTGAGTGGCTCAGTCCTATACAGGGAAAGGTATCTTTTAAAATCAATGTGGATCAACTACACAGTTAAAGAAATGAGTATTGAAAATACAATCTGACTTGTTAAAAAAACCAACCAACCACTATTCTTGATTCTCTATCATTAAAAAGTCTTCCTCTTATTTATTTCAAGTCTGTGTCTGTCACTTCAACTGAAATAAGCAGTCACTCCTGTTACCAACATGGCCAGCAGGGTGCATATCACAGTTTGTCTAGCATATAAAACCACCAATAATGTCCATTACCATGTATGACTCAGTGACAGAATCATTAGATGTAGTCTTCTTAATGTCACAGAGAAGAAAAAACACAGGGAAAACACTTCTTATTTAGGATTCTGGCCTTCCTTATGCATTACAGGCCTGCCATCTATATTAATGGCAACACTCTCATTAACTCCAGTCACGCATGATCAGGCCCCAAATAGCAACTTTCCATAGCTAGTAGTTGCATTACTCATTAGCACCCCAAAAAGGGTGGAGGTTATACTTTTAAATATAGAGGTGATTTTTTTTTTTTATTCCTGACATTTAGATCAATTTAAAAGGAGGATCAAATTAGCCAGTGACCAAATTAAGAGAGAAACTGTAATTGAAACACTGGAAATGTTTCTTGTTTCATTGGTTTCTGGTTACTCTGACAGATTATGCAGGAGAACCATGTAAATTTCAAAGGTTTTTCCTTCCTTCCTAGAACTAATATGCCATAATATAATTCATAGATTCTAAGACCAGAAGGAACCATTATGATCATGTAGTCTGACCTCCTGTATGTCACAGGTCATAGAGCCTCACCTGGTAATTCCTGAATCAAGTGTATAACTTCGGTTTAAACTACAGCATAATATGTAGAGAGCTCGCTGATCTTGATTTAAAGACTTAAAGTGATGGAAAATCCACCCTGTCCCTAGGAAAGTGGTGCCAATGGTTAATCACCCTCACTGTTAGACAAATTTAGATGCACATTTTTATTTTCAGTTTCCAACCATTTAATCTCGTTATGCCTTTTTCTGCTAAAGAGCCATCTACTATTAGTAATCTCTTCACCATGTAGCTACTTATAGCTCATTCAGGAACAAGCTATTTCTTAACCTTCTTTTGGATAAACTAAGTAGATTGAGGCTCTGAAATCTCTCACTATAAGGCATGTTTTCCAGACCTTGAATCACTCTTGTAGCTCTTTTCTGAACCCTTTCTAGTTTTTCAACATTAGTAGAATGGAATAGATCTTTGAAGACGAAATACACTAGTAGGATATTATTTGCCTGGACTTTTGGGGTGGTGTAGTGGAAGAGGACAGTTGTGGTGTGCTATGTGAAAGTCTATAGAGATACTTTCTGGACCCATCATTTATGGTGGAGGATGTGGGAATATTCTTGTAGCCCACCAGCCTTGGCTTTTCACAAAATATATATTTTTCTCAAATAATTACCTTTTTAAGTTTCAATTTCTGATGTTCATTCTCAGCACAGGAGGGCTGGAAGAACCAGCGTGGAAAGCTTCTGAACAATCACCTTTTTTAATTATCTGAATCTAACCTGGAAAGTGAGCATGTTGCAACCTTTATGAAATTTTTCAGCCTTTATTCTTTGCACTTTGAACTTGGATAAATTTATTTTAAAACAACTGCTGTCATATTTAGATCACCTTTCAGCATTCCCCTTCCCAGATAAAAACTGCTTTATAAATATCGCTCCATTGATCATAGGTTTTATAATCCTCATGTGTATGGGCTATCAAAATGCCCTCTGGGAGGAATCTAGTCCTGTTATCATCCATTCTGATTGTAGAACTTTACCATTTGCCCCTGAGTATTCAATTATCTCTATTTCGGTAACACAACTAGGCTGATAGTGTTTGAATATCTAATTTTCAGTGCAGATTTACATAACACAAGAGGAGGCTTCTCATTTCCATTGCTGATGTCATTTTCTTTAACCCTCAGCTAGACAAGTGCAGTATGCAAGTGTGTGTCTAGACAGGAACTCACTGTCCCATATGCACCCGGCTAATCTCTTGTGTGCTTACCACTTGACAGTGCTGCAGACGGACTGTCACCTCTCTGAGAGGACTGGATCCAGACTTCTGTGTATCATCCAACTGATGGCTGTTGAGGAGACAGAAAGTCCTAATGATTTCTAGTTCACACTTAGCAGAAGGGGAGGTGAAATGCTGGGGTGGGATGAAGGGAATCACTTACAGGTATGTTATGATGAGCACTGTTTTATGTTGTCACTGTGGTGCAGGGATTATCACGAATGTGTGTGTGTTTAAAGCACAAGCAAGCAAATGGCTTTCAGGGCAGTGCAGTCTCCAATCCAGCCCTACTCCCTCCTTATGTCAAATAGGCCCCAGCGGTGTTCAGGTGGGTGCCTGGAAGTGAGTTGTCTCTGCTTCATGGGCCATTTGACACAAGGGATGTAGGACTAAAGGATGGCTAAGCTGTGGGGCTGGGGCTTTGGGGGGAGGGACAAGGGATAGGGACTGGGAAACAAGAGGGGGTGACTGGGAAGGGGGCTGGCTGATCTGGATAGGAGAGGGAAATTGCTGGGGCAAAATGGCTGGAGCTAGCGATGGCTGAAGGAAGGAAGGGGGTGGGAAGGATAACTGAGCTGGAGACAGATGGTTGGGAGAGCTATTGGCTGAGAGGGAGGAAGGATAATGGGTGGCAGAGGGGATGTCTGGAAGGGCGAAGGGCAGGAGGGCTAGCTGGGCTGGGCGGGGAGCAGGGGGCTAGCTGAGCTGGAGGGGGAAGGGGAGAAGGGCTAGCTGGGGCAAGGGGAAGAACAGGACTAGCTGGGCTGGAGGGGGGAGAACAGGACTAGCTGGGCGGGGCGGAGCGGGACAGAGGGGAGGCTGGAGGCTGAGGCTGGCCGGGCGCCCCCTCTCCGCCCCCCAGGTTGCTGGCCTGTCCATCTGACTGGGGAGGCCCCTGGGCACGCTCGGGTCTGAGGCGGGCGAGCCCGGGGCTCCCCGGAACGCTCCCGCCAAGAGCTGGCAGTCGGAGCTAGCCGCTCGCCCCCGGCCTGAGGCAGGCTGCTCCTGGGGGCACAGGGAGGCGGGGTGCGCGGCGGGCGCCGCTGGAGGAGATGTGGCTGGGGGCGGTGTCAGCCCCCAGCCCCCTGGAGCGGCAGCCAGTCCCTTCGCGCTGGCTGGCTCCGTGCTCCCTGTGCAGTACGGCGAGGCTACAGCCTGCAGAGCCAGGGGCTGTCAACGGAGGGGAGAGCCAGCGAGGGAGGGGGCCCGGGAGCCACAGGCACAGAGATCGGGATCAATGCAATAAAATGCACCTCCTGCAAGTGCCCCTTGGGAGGAAGCAGCCGCAGGCGGCGGCGGCGGCGGCAGCCGGGAAGTGAAAGGTCCGGAGAGTTCAGCTTGCCATGCCCTGCACGGGAGCAGCAGGAGCCCGGCGGGTCCCCGCGGGGAAGTGAAATGTTCTCAGCGAGGCACGCGGCTCCCCGGGGGCTGGAGGAGCCATCAGCTGTCCCACGATGTCACTCCCCGGGGGAGACTCGGGGGCTGGAGCCTCCCTCCTGCCCTTAGCACGCCAGTGAGTGGCGAATGAATGACCTGCCGGGAAGGATTTGCTCTGGAGACCCGTCTTCATGTGCAGAAGAGATTCCAGGCTCCTGGTCCTCCTCCTTGATTCATGCACTTTGACCAGGAGTTTGGCCATGGAGAGCTGGGTCTGGCTCATTGTACTTCTGGGCTGCTCTGCTGTAGCTGCAGGTGGGTCTTGATGTATTTTCATTCCTTCTAAACCTTCTCCCCATTGCTTAGCCTCTAGGAAGGAATAAAGCCCGAAGCTGCTGGGGAGCACAGTTTCAGACTATGAAATCGCTTCATATTCCCCATCTTCCTCCTTCTCCAGCAGTAAATATATGTAAACCGATGGTTAAGGGCAGTATTTACCCTTAACGATCAAAGTTTATCTTTGTAGCCCGATTATCATTTTCAGAGCGAACAAAGAAGAGTTTTACTTGCAATGTGTACACCACCGTGTATATCAACAGACACCCTTGGACTTTTCCCGAGCAGGTTTCGGATCCTAGTGATCCTTCGTAGCCTCTCAAGTAAAAGATGTAACATTCGCTTTTTAAAAATGTGACCGTCTCTTTAACAAGCTCATAAGAGAGTGTGAAAAGTCAAGTGGACTGGGAAAGCCAGGGAAGACATCAGGAAGGTGCAGTGAGTTCAAGAAGGAAAGATGACAATGTAACGTACTGGTTATGCCATTAAGCAGCGTTTTTAAACTCAGCCCTGCTTCTGCGTAGGGCTACAGGGAACAGGAGCTTCCTGAGCAGGAAAGAGAATAACCAGCTTGGATTATTTTAGCTACAGCTGGAATGACCTGTAAAGGGGAAAAGTGCTTCTTCCATGGTCAAGAACAGTCAGTGTTGCTGAGAAGTGTCCATTCACACCTCAGGTTCTTTTGTTTGGGTTTTTATTGATTCCTCAGAAAGGGGTCCTCAAACAGTAGAATGTCCTACGTTCAAGTCACCTTTCTCCCCCTTTTTCACCTTCCTTTCCCGCTAGTTCCTGGACATACTATTGGATGTATTTCCCAAGTCCGTTCTCGTTTTGCCAGAATTTATTTTCAGGAATGCAAATTAAATTCCACATGAGGCAGCTTGTCACACTGCTTTGCATCCAACACTGCAGATGCACACCAGCCGTCTTGTGTCCATCTCCTCAGTCTCAGCTGTAAGGGGAGTTTTCAAGGGCTAAATAGGTACAGACTGGCTAAGCAACGTCTTAAAGGGGACATAGTGACTGTCTGGAATAGTTTGGAGAGGGATATAACTAGGAGGTAATAAGAATGAAAGTGGAAAAAAAAGGAATATTTAAACAGAACACCAAGAGAAGCTTCCTGACACTGAAAGTATAGGAAGCTCCCCCATGTGAGACAGCCAAAATTAGACTGGGCAAAGCACCAAACAGTGCCCTGTAGCTGCCCTGGTAGGTGATGGAGTGGGTGTCCTGATAAGTGTTTTCCAGCTGTAATTTCTGTGTGCTATCCCTTTATCACATCTGACTCAGAGGGAAAAGTCAGACGCGTGCATTCTTTCTGAAGTAACTGCTATTTCAAGTTTATGCACAAGAAAAGCAATCTAAAGATCTCAAATAAGATAAACGTGCCTGGACTTTACTGACCCTTAGAGCTGACACCCCACAGTGCCTACGCTCATGTTGCTCACAGCACCTTTACCTGAAATAAAGATAAGATAGCTTTCATTCACTCCCTTGGGCTGGCTTATTTATTTTGAAGCTCCTTGGTATCAACATCGCACCACTGAGATTGTTCCTTACTGGTTGTTCTGAGTCTTACCAGCTAAGATCTACAAGATAATGTAGCTCTAACAATCTCGGTGTCAGTTACTATCCTTGTGGTGTGGAAACCATTACTTCAGTATTGGAAGGGAATGAGGAGAGCAGAATTCACAATGTAGTAAATAAAGTTTTTAGTCATGCTTGTAATGATCTTTGCAGTACTGATGGCAAAACTAGCACACAGATAAACCAAAGCTTTAAACCCCTTTCCCACCCCTGCCAAATGTATTTAGTATAATAACTACTTTGCACTTGTAAGGACCTCAAAACACTTCACAATTAGGCTTTAATATTGTGTTCAAATATTAATATTTAATATTAATATAAACTGTTTATATAATGTTTTCTTGGAGCGTTTTCAAGCTGAGGGCTGATTTTTCTTTTTGAACAAACCTTATTATTAGCTTGTTATAGAAAAATCATATAATCAATTGCAAGGGTGTAAGTGAAATGTTACAAGGCAAGTGTGTCAACTGAAAAAACGCTTAAACAGGAAGCATATGATAGGCCTGGATATTTTACAGGTGAGTCATGGTGTACCTTGTGTGCTCTTGTCCATTACTAAAGATTGCTGTTCAGTGGTATGTACAGTATATAGGGTATGAAATAGCATAGGGTTAAGCATAACCATTAAGGGGTATGGAGAGGCACCTCTTTCTGGTAATCGAAGAGCTGACGTGAGTTTGTGGCTGACAATGCGAAAATCTTTATGCTCCAGTCTGTCAATTTTGCTGCATTCTTGTGGTAAACAGCACTAAGCCAGAAAACTGTCACATCTCACAAATTGCAACACTCTGCATTGATCATTCTAATTTTTTTTCATTTGAAAAAAACCTATTATTCAAAGGCTTTGTTTTTTCCCCCAGTGTAAGAGGCAATGGCTTGTGAATTCCAACAGCCTGAACCTGTTCCCATTGACTCCAGTGGGAGCAGGATCCACTCCCAAATGAGGAATGAAAACTATGGGCCTGATTCAAAGCCCCTGGGAGCATAGAAGTTAGGCTTTGATACTAGCAGGTGCTAACCACTTCTGAGTTTCCTCAAATCCCATGGACTTTAATGGGAGTTGTGTGCTCAGCATGTCATGGACAAGCTCAGACCTCTGCAGGAGAGACAGGCCTACCAAAGGACTACAGAAAGTGTTGTATTTACATTAATCCGTTTGTCAATTTAAGTATAATGCATTTGCCTCTGAACAGTTACTGTAAGCTCCTTGGGGCAGAACTTCTAGGTGAAATCCTGGCTCCATTGAAATTCCCATTGACTTTAGAAGGACAACGATTTTAGTCCATGTTTTCCTCTATATACTATACAATACTGAGCACAAAGATAGTACTTGATCAATATGGATATTAATTAAAAATCATATTGAAGTCCTGACTAAGAACTGACATATTTATTTAGTCACAAAAGTGCTTTCTATTAGAGGTAGTAATTTGAAATGTAATGGTGGAGGGTACTACAGTAAATATTCACCTGTTTGTTTAACAGGTAACTTCACTACAATAATGTAGCTAAAGAATCCAAGAAAGCAGCCAACACATAAATTAAGTCATCCCATGGTAGACCTAACTGATAACGCAATGGTAAAATACTTCCCTACCTCTCAGGAGAGCTGTGTAGATTAGTTTATGTTTGGACAGTGCTTTGAAAAGGATCTCTATAAGGGATAAGTGTTGTTCTGTGAATTTTACAGTTGTGTTTATTCACTGTTATAGGTATAAGTGTATTTTGTAAATTTGAGATGAGACTGTCTTATTTTAGTTATTGCCTGCAGCTGTCCTTTTTAATGCACTTAATTTCTTATCCCTGTAGGGGATTCATTATTTCACAGAGTATTTTGATCATTAAAATCTTTCCAAGATATTTTTAGCCAATGCAGTCTGCCCATTTGTAAGTGCTTTATAAACAATGTTCCACAGCTTTTCTGAGTAATCTGTATAAAAAACCTGCATAGATCCTTGGTATTAGAAATGGGGGGGGGGGGGGGGAGGAATCTATCAGATCGTTAAGTCTACCCGGCTGCTAATGCAGGATAGAACTCCAGTGCAACTACTATGTGCCAAAGCTGAATAACAATAATAGCCCCCAGATAAAGGGATGTATTGGCTATTAAACCAAAATGACACTTGAACTTAGCAAAAAGATCAAGAAGAAATCATAATCATTAGTGCATAAAGCTTATTGTGTATGTTTGGCCTAGTGATAAAGAACACATTATGCACCTCAGATGTTTTGGCATGCCCATTTTCAAGTCATCAGAGCTGTTTTGTTTATTTTTTTTAAGTTAAATGGCTATGGGTCATAAAATACAATCTAGTTCCTGACTGACTGCCAGCTTCATTAATAGGTGGAAAGTTTTTAATAAAAATTACTAAACCATGACTGTAACTTTGCTAAAGGTTTCATACTGAACCCCTGTGGTGATTTTATTTTCTGTGTAGACACTGTAATTGCATGAGTTTTAAATCAACAAGACTTCTAGACAAACCTGAACAAAAACCACATAGACTAAATTGCAGGGCAACTTGCCAGCACCATTTCAACAGTGGAATTTTTTCTTTACACACCATTAGTGACAAACTTCCAAAATATGAACCAGTGTACTGACTAAATCCTGACCTCTTCAGCACCTAGGGAGGGGATGCTTCAGTGTTCCTACTGTGCAAACAACCTCCAGGCTCAGTAGGAATACTGAAGCACCTTGCTTGAATATCCCTCCACAACTCATCTCCCTGTCTCCTACCGAAAACTCAGCTACCTCATCTGCCCAGTAAGCCCTAGCACCACCCAACCTCCACTAGGGTGACCAGATGTCCTGATTTTATAGGGACAGTCCGGATATTTGGGGCTTTGTCTTATATAGGTGCCTATTACTCCCAGCCCTTGTCCCGATTTTTCACATTTGCTGTCTGGTCACGCTAACCTACATGCTACTTAGTGCTTTCTTCATGGCTTCCTCCCTGTCCTGTGATGGGATGGGTCTCTTTCTGCAGTCTTGAAGAGAGGAGTTGTATGGCCATACACTGAGATACGAATATATCTTTGTGGGTATTCAGACAGGGTCACTGCCCCACTTTAAATCCTCAGGGTTTTCTGGGATAGCTCATGAAGCAGCTTGGTTTCCCCTAACACAGGGCAGCAAGAGAAGGGAATATTCCCTTTGCCCACTGAGGTGGCTGCGATACCAGGGAGTGCTCCATAATGCTTATTGTGGTAACTAAAAAGCTCTCAAGGTTCCCTAGAAACTACCCAATAGGACTTTTTCCTGCATGTGGTTTCCAGGGAACCCTTGAGCGTTCCTTATCTACCACACTAAGCCTTAGGGGGCATCTACTGCGCCTGGGCTTAACGTAGCATCCACTGCAAAGGGAGAGCGAGCTAGGCTGAGGCAAAGGGGCTCTAGTGGAATAGCCGGGGACATATTGGGACCAGGAGGAAGTATGGCTGGGGATGGCCTGTGCTCCAGGTTTTCTCTGGCTTGCAGGGGCCACTGAAACAGGTGTAATCCTGAGGGCACCCCTAGTCTACAGCAGCTCCCTTCAGCTCCTGACTCTGGGCTTCTCTCCTTGTTCTCTGTGTTGGCCAGTGCAGGATTTAGCTCCACTTGTGTTAGTGTTACACAGGGAGCTGTTTCACATGGTAAACTGAATGCAGTTGTCTGAGAGCAATGCCGTTAAAGATAAATTGCTTTAGATTAACACGTACTTTCCTCCACCTAGGACTGAGCAGTGTTGTCGGAGTTGGGTCCCATTGCGAAAAAACGTGCAACCCTCGAATGGGAAACCTAGCCCATGGACGAAGATTGTGGACAGATACCACATGTGGGCGCAACTCCACTGAGTTTTACTGTTCATACAGTGAGTATGCAGACCTGACATGCAAGCGGCCCAAGTGTGACAAATGTAATGCTGCTCACACCCATCTGGCTCACCCACCCTCTGCAATGGCCGACTCTTCCTTCCGTTTGCCTCGCACATGGTGGCAGTCAGCTGAGGATGTGCACAAGGAGAGGATCCAGCTGGATTTGGAAGCTGAGTTTTACTTTACTCACATGATCATGGTGTTTAAGTCAGCAAGGCCAGCAGCCATGGTTCTGGAGCGATCCCAGGATTTTGGGAAAACATGGAAGCCTTACAAGTATTTTGCCACTAACTGTTCAGCAACTTTTGGTCTAGAGGACGATGTGACAAAAAAAGGAGCAATTTGCACTTCAAGATATTCAAGCCCATTTCCTTGCACTGGGGGAGAGGTAAGTTCACTGGCATGTTAAAGGGATACTGTCAAGTAATGTTGGCCCTGAATTCAGGCTCCTTATAATCCTTATAACCTTTACTCCAGAATTTATATTTCTCATCTTAAAATGCCACTGTCAACTTGAAATCTAGTTAATTTCAAGAAATGAGTTAAAAGTAGTTGCAAGTATTACACCTGTCCCTGATCCCCTCTGCCAATCTCTGAGGTTTTACAATCACATTTTCCTACTTTTAAAAATGTTTCTCTCTCCACTGTTGCTTTGTGAAAGACTCACACAAGCAACAGGTGAATTGACTATACTGGAAAAATGTTGAAACTGGCAAACACACAACGATATTGTTAATTTCAGAAAGTAAACAAATGGAATGGAAGGAGAAAACAGAGAAAAATATTTTTTTCCATTCTCTTTCAGTTCTAGTAATTTTAAATGTTACTTGTAATAATAGGTCAAAATTTGACAGAAATGGGGTTATTTTTCAACTGATGGTGTCCATGTCCCTGTTAGATAACTACCACTGTCACCAACAAATTAAAGTAAAATAAACCAAAAAGAGCCACTGCTAACGTTGACCCTATAATTTTCCTGTAATTCTGTGGAAGAAGGACATACTAGTTAATTAAGAAACCCCACTCCCTCATATATGCTATGTGCATGGACGCTAATATGAAAAAAAGAGGTAAACAAAAGAAAAGTAGAAGGGAAAAATCACATTTGCTAAAAGAAAAAAGACAGTATTGAAAAGAGGTTATTTTTATATATTACAAATAACAGAAAATAAAGAACATATGCCCAATGCACTGTTTCGCTTTGTTGCTTACACTGATAATTCAACTAGTTTTCTGAGAGATTCCCTCTAATGAAACCCTAATACAGAAATTAAGATCTGTTGTGTTGCTATCTCTGGGTTTACACTTTCATTAGTGGTGAGATATCCTCGGTGGACTGTTGGTAAAATCTGCTCCCTCTAGTGGTCTTTCAAGAGTTATATGATCAGTTTACAGTGCTTTTCAGATGTGTTTTGTTTGTTAAATCAAACTTTTGATTTTCCTTTTGAATAAAATAGAGAATGGAGTGAGCTATTAACAAAAAGAAAGATCAGTTTTATTCTGTAAGACAGTGTTGATTATTTTCTTTGAAGTAAGGCTCCCCATGCCATCATGCGGGAGATCAGTATACTGTACATCTCCAAGTAAATAAGGCTTGTCTACACTACAAAAGCTTTGTTGGTAAAGCTATGTCAGTAGAGCTCTCTAGTGTAGACACAGCGTATACAATAGAAGGAGTTTCTCTGCTGGCATAATAACACCACTTCCCTGATGACACTAGTTATGCCAATAGAAGCATTCATGTCGGCATAGTTGCAGCTACACTGGGGTTTTTGCCAACATAGCTATGTGAGTTAGCGGTATGATCCCCCCGCCACTTCTAGCCAATTTACCTGTGCTGGCAAAGCTTTGTGGTGTAGACTGAGCCTCAGTAAATCATCTGTTGACATACAGAATCCTCACAGTTTCCCACCCTCATCCCAGCAGTTTCATGATTCAGTTCATAGACATTTAGGGCCAAATTTCTATTCTTGGATATGTTCATGGAATTCACACTGAATTCAGTGAGAATTTTGCTCTGAGATAGCCATATGTGGTTCTCACTGAATTCAGTGAAAATCACATATAGATATCCCAGTGTAAAATCTGACCTTTAAATGAAAGGATCAGATATGAATAAATTAAGTTGTGATTTAGTTTCCCTCAAATTTTGCATTCAAAGGGAGGATTCTTTGTACAGTTTTTTTACTTTTTGTTTGTTTTCTTCACAGAAGAATATGTTAGCTCCATAGCAGGGCTTTGATAGTATTTGAATTTAAAGGGCCAGAACCTCAGCTGGCATATATCAGTGTTCCTTATGCCTGTTTACCCCAACTGAGGATCCAAGCCACAGTCTGAAAGCAATTGCCTTGCTAAACGGTCATAAGGATTGTCACTGTTAAAAATTAACAATACATGTGAAGAGTCAAACAATATCAGCCAACACTGGAGTTATTCAGAGTCAGCTTTCTCCAGGATTGGGCCCCGGTTTGGTTAAGAAAGGAATAAGAAGTACCTGTCCAAAGGAATACATAAGTCTATTCACTAAAATGCATCTTCCTATGTAAAAAGTCAAGGGAGGGCAGCAGCTGTTCTGGTCTGGAGAGAAACTTTTAAGTGCATTCTTTTCATTGAAGGAATGAAAGCCTCTAGGCTCACTGAAGAGGCCCGTGTCCTTAGCAGTTACTTTATTAATCCAATTAAGGGTTAAAATAAGGGGACCACAAGGGAAAACTGCTTCCTGCTTCCCCTCCTTTGGTAAAACCAGAGAGAGAGCTTCCTCTCATGCTGGGGTTGGGACTCACTAAACAAGGGAATCTGCAGTAGAAGTAGCAGGAGGTGCCAGGCTGAGGAGTTTCTGAGGCTCTCAGCATCTCCACCAGTTGTGTGCCATCTCCATATGGTTATGTAATGCCACATTACCACGTAATGTTGAGCCCTATGACGATAGCCACACCAGGATTGGTGACCACTCCCTCTCTAGTTTGACCACAGAAGAGTGTGATTTATGTTTTCTCATTCACACGATTCCTTGTGAGCCTTTCTACAAATGATGCTCAGAGAGAAGAAATTCAGCACTGACTTCAGTGGGTTTGCAAAGAGTGTAAACCAGGGCAGGATTTGGCTCATCCGAGGTTGATTCTGTAGCCACTATGTGTGTATAGAGTTCCCACTGAAGTCATCCCAGTAAAGTGTGTCCACATAGAGGTGTGCAAATACAGGCCGAGTCAGTTTACATGCGTGTCAGTGGAATTTCTGCATGTGCAGCAGCTAGGGGATTGATAGCCCCCTGTGTGGACACAAAATTTGTTTCTGTGTCCGATCTGCGATCCGCAAACATGGTCCATGGATATCTGCAGGTTTGCTGGGCTCTGAATATAAAATTTGGATCCACATCCATCCTCAAATATGGTCCACGGACATCTAAAGATATAAAGTGGATACCCGCAAATTTGCAGGGCTCTAAGGATTGAGAACCCTACATGTAGAAATCAGCAAATACCTTAGGTAAGGGAAGGAATTCAGTATTATTCCATGTATTTCAGGTAGCATGCTACAAAGCAATCCATTCACAGAATGGCCTTATTGTTGCAGTGTCGAATATGTTGGCTTCATTTTATTGTAGTTTGTGATAATTGCAAAGAAAGGAGACCTCCAATTCCAAATTGTCTTATTATTTCATATTTTAAAACAAATGTTGAGTCGAGGGGACTGGAGCCCTAAATCATTTGGGAGTTTATGCATGTGGCACACTTCAGTTCCCTGCATTTAAACACCACTTGTATTTACGTGCAAAGTAATAACAGCAACTCTCTGGCAACCAGATGGCAAGCATGCATGCTTAGCATATATCACATTTAATTTATTACAGCGTGCTACATTCCAGCAATTACTTCTAACTGCCAATAGCAATGTGTATCTCACCTAAAGCAATACCAGAGTTTTGTGTGCTGTTTTGAATTATGCACTGCTGACTCCCACTAATCGTAGCACCTAATTTCAGACATATGGAAACAGTTTCAGTTGAAACGGTAGTTTCAAATATGCAGCCATCTTAAAATATCTAGCTTGAAAGGGTATTATTTAATTGCAGCTAAGTTGGGCCAGTATTCTTTAAAACATCAGTGTAAACTCTGAACTGCTAACAGGTCTCTTTAATATAAGGCAACTACTGTATAGCATGACAGCCAACTGCGCACAAGCCCCTTGGAGCACCACTTGAAAAAGTTTCAGTATCATATATAAAAGTCAAGGTACAAAAACACAGGCTGTGTGCCTGTGTAAAAGCAGTGTGGTCTAAAGGTAAAAAGAAAGGGAATGGAAGTCAAAGTACCTGGGTTCTGTTTGTGACTTTATCACTGACAGATGTGACCTTGGACAAGTTACTTGGGGCCAAATGGTTAAAAGTGGCCTTTGATTCTGGGTGTGGCCACTCATATCCTGAGGCCTGATGTAGAGCAGAGATTGGAACCTGGGTCTTCCAGATGAGTGTGTAACAACTAGGCCATAGGCATTCGGATGTTTTCACTGGCTCAACGCCTAAAGTGGAACAACTTCCGCAGGACAGCTTGGGTGCTCCTCCTCAGGCTAAACAAGTGGTTAGGGCACTTCTGTAGGAGGTGCAAGACCAGTGTTCAAGTCACTGCCCCACTTCAGGCAGAGTAAGGATTAGAATGTGGGATCTCCCACATCTGAGATCGGGGCTCTAACCTGTGGGATATTGAATAAGAGGGGGGTGTACCATCATCTCATTTTCAATGAGAAAGGCTTAGGCGTCTAACTCCAGGAGAGGGTTCTTGGCTGTGAATCTCAAGTGGAGTCCCCAGGTAGGTAACTCCCGACCTAACTCCCTTTGACAGGTGAAACTTAAGCCTCCCTCCCCCCCCCCCCACTTCTTGGCATTTCCTACTGGGTAGCTTAGATGGCTTCCTGCTCAATGTGCTGGCTTTTGTGACTCCCGTTCTTAGGTGCTAACTCTCCAGTTCCCATCATTGTAGAAGGAGCCTACACACCTAATTTAGAGCTGAAGATTTCAATGGGCATCAGGGTGCCTAAAATTGGTCATGCCAATACCAAGCCTAAGTTCTCTTTGTGGATCTAGCCTTGAGTACCTAGAAGAAACAGGGATTTGTGATACTGTGTAAGAAGAGCTTGCCTGAAGGTGGTAAAATCAACAAGCTTTTCAACCCTAGATTCAGAAAATAGAACCAGGTAAGCAGTACGGGGGAGGGGTCAGTGAGAGGCTAGATAGAGAGGAAAATCAGGATCAGGCCTGGCTCAAATGGATTAGCAGATGGGCCCTGCCCTGAGGAGCTTACAATTTAACTGAAGATTCTGTGCACTTCCATGCTACGTAAATAAAGGATTTGTTTTTACTCTATACTTTTTATACAGGTGAAAGCCTATTCC